GCCTGATCAGACCCTTTTCTGCATTCCTGTGCCATCTTCTCCCAGTTAGAGAAGCCAGAGAGCCTTCCATGGGAAAGCAACAGCTCCCAAGGCTTGAGACAGCACCTGGCACAGCTTTTGGAGGTGGTATCAGTGGCAGTGCAAACCCAGGGATTACTGGAAGGAGGGAATTGGGATCTAGAGAAAAATCTGGGAACATCTTGTTTGCATTAGTAGTACCATCCATGTATTATACAAAATACAAAAATAAGAGAAACTGTAAGGAAATTAGTACAGCCCAGGATTGTGGTGGTATCAAATCACCAAGGAAACCTATGACACCAAATCCTTTTGATGTATTTATCCCCTTGTCGTTCAGTTTCTTATATATATTATTCTATATATAAGATATAGTTCTCCAAAGATACATAGATATTCCTTTACAGGTTAAATAAAAGCAAGTCCCACTGAATAAGAAAATAAGAGGAAGTAATGTCCTAATTCTCTACCCATATCTTTTTTATTATTCTTTTTCAGGTAAAAATAGCATGAAATACATTCAGTAGCAAAGCAGTTGGAATCCAGGAGAGACAGAGGGCCCTGTGTTCCTGGAGGATTGACCTGGATGTAGTAAGTCATGATCCTGGAAGGAACAGTGTAGACTTCTGACTTGGGAAGGATAGGATCTGGATCAGTGCTGGGTGGTACTGATCCAGCTGCAATTTCTTTGCACCTCCCAAAGCCACCAGTTGTACAGGCTGCTGTGAGCTGCACCTACCCCACCCAGAGAGGTCCAAACTGGGATGTTCTGCTGTCTCCCCTCAGTGTTACCACTTGGAAAGAGGTCATGGGACAGCTCCCAGTAGCACACCAGCACAACAGGTGGAAAAATAATCGGATTTGGATGTTTGTGCTTGCAAGAACACTGTGATGGTGCTGTGTGTGCTCACCACGACACGTGTGGTGCAGCCAGACCCTTCAGCTGGGACCAGGTGCTCCTCAGCCACAGCAGCCCCCGGGGCTGGAGAGCAACATCTCTGCCCTATCCTCACAGCCAGTGACATGCATCAAGGTTTTCCCTCCAGCAGCTGGAAGAACACCAGCACTGCAAGGTCAGAGTGCTTCTGGTTTCAATGCCAAACGTGTTTAGGCTTAGGAGATGATGCAGAAGTTGCCAATTGTCCCTGAGTCTAACAGTAAATCAAAATCAGAGGTAAAGTTCTCCCACACATACAAGTAGTTTTCACGGATTTCACTGCAGCTACTTAGCAGGAGGAAGGGAACAGCCCTACCTTGGTCCTGTGGAGAAAGGATGGCAGGTAACTTCCAAGGGTTGAGACTTCAGTGCCAGTGGGAAGTACCTGCTGCCACGTTCAGTCGGTGAGTGGCATCAGGACTGAAGTCAACAGACACTTCATGCTTTGTCAAGGGGCTGAATTCTTGCTGTCCTTGCCTTTCTTTCTATCCCCTTCCCCCTTGTAAACAGCTGGTTTTATTTCCAGCTGTTTTTGACACAGTGGCACAGATGATCATTCATCTTAAAGGAAATTTTGAGGGCCAACCAAGAGAAGTCATTTGAAATGTCTAACAAGGGAAAAAAACCTGTTGCTTAGCTATGTAAGCAGTTTAACTTGGCTGCAGCAATGTCAGTCACCTGTGGCAAATGAAACCCTGCTGACTGGGCAGCACTGAGTACAGCCTGACTCCCCTGCCCAGGCTGGTTCCACCAGCCACTAACACAGAGGGACCTCAGGGGCTTCACTCCACACATGGTATTTTCTGCTTTTCTTTCCTTTGTAATTCTCTCCAGGTACAATTAGAAATGGAAAGTGAAGTAAGTCCTATTACTTTAGAACACTCAGTTTGGCTCACAAAGATAATACAAGACTAGTTCACAGATGTACCACGTAACTAAGTCAGCCTTGCTTCATTTAGCCTGTAAAGTGTTACAGTCAAAGGAAAAACAACTTTTTCAGTGAAAAGAGTACTCTTTCTTTTGCTTTCCCCTCTAATGGGCATCTCAGGAACAGATTAGAATCCAACAAGGTAAAACAGTTGTAGTAAAAATAATCTTTGGAGGTTTGTCCCTAACCAAAGCCTAGGCTTCATTTCAGCCTGGAGCATTCTCCATGAAATTAAAAAATAGGATTTAGTTCCACATATATAAAATACAAATTACTTTTAATCAAGGTTTGATGTGGACACATACTTTAATTCCCACTCAGGAAAAAGAAATGTTAATCATTCCAGACTTACAAGCTGTGCTAACTGTCCCAGTGCCACACAGAAAGAAGTTTCAGAGGGACTCTGATGGTGTTTCCTGCTGGAAAGCTGGACAGGAGCCTGCTGTCCCTCACTGATCCATCAGGGAGAGGTGTGCAATAGCTCTGTCTCACACAGATCTGTTTTCTTGCAGGAAGCCAAACCCCCCAGCAGCAGGTACAATTGCAGCTGGCCTGGCTCAATCCTGGTCCTGCTCCTTTCCTTGCCTCTGGACACAGCTATGCTTACCAACACAATGCCACCAAGCTCTTCTCTTACTCTGTCAGTATTGTTGAGAAGACACACCTTGCACCTAAACATTGCTCCTCCACATGTCACTGCTACAAACACAGCCTTGGGTCTGCAGCTGAAAGGTGGGAATTGTTTATTGCCTTCTGACCCTCCCTTTGGGGCTGTAAGCCACTTCCAGCCTCCAAGGGGCTGAAATCAGCATGGCTAGCAGGGAGCAAATGGGGATTTCTTCCAGAAACTCAACTTCCAAAGCTGCCACACTGCCACCTGTGCCAAAGCTCATCCCAGGACACATGGTGAGCTTACATATCAGTTCCTTTCTGATGGACTGGGGGAGTCCCACTCCCACGATCCACCTGCACTCACTGGGCCCTTGGAGATGATTTAACTTGGCAAAAGATTCACCGGGGGGGGAGAATCCACCCACATCTCTTTTGGTTGTTTTTAATCACCTCCAGTAAGTGCCACAACAAGGACAAGGGCCAGGACTGCACAGCAGGGAGCTGGAGGGTGAGAGCTTTGAGCAGCACTGAGCTGTCAGCTCATCTGCTCAGGGAATCACAGTCCTAATAATTAGGAAAATGTGTGTTATTACTGCACTTCTCCAATCCTGGATTTAAATCCACTTGTAAGTATGATTCAAGACCCATGAAAGGAGAAAGTCAGACACTTGTCAAACCAGCAGTGTCACTCACGGGCACAGCACTCAGCTGGCACAGTCAGGTGCTCACCAGGGAACCTTCAGTGCCACTTCAGACTTATCAGGGATTCAAACTCACATGCCACGTGTGAAGCAGAACTGGGAGGTGAACGAGCAACTCTGGGCTGAGTCAGTCCAGAGAATGGAAACACTTATGCAAATATGATGAGCAAGAAAGTCATCAGGGAAAAAGATCTTTGTTACTATTTGCCAAAGAAACTCCTGGTCTTCCCCCCTCCTTTTTTTCCTTCACTGTATTCATATTTCCAGATCATCTCTGTTCTTGCAAGTGCATTTTAAAATATGAACAGTTTTAACCCCTTATTCTTAGCAGAGAGAACTGTGTTGGGATGGTGACTGCATTTTGATCTCTGCCTGCCTTTCCCAACCCTTCTTCCCTCTGGCACTGGTGACACTACATTGGTCCTACCCTGTTGAAAATCACTCACAATTATGCTTGACAACAAAGCACAGGATGGGTATCATTCACTTTTATTGTACAAAACTGACAAGGTATGGCATTCCTCAGAGTTAAAAAAAAAATAAAATAATCAAAACAGAACTAACGTCCCTGGAACAATTAATACACAACCTTCAGTCCAGCAGTGACATTTACCTGCAAGAGCATCTTTAGACAGGACAGGTGTCATTAAAAAAATATTCCATCAGTTCAAGCAATAGTTTAATTCTCCATGAAATAAGTATTTCTATAAACACTTTATGTTCAGTCAAAACAAATGCTTTTTTGAACTTCCTTACCTTAAGAGATATAAAACCACCAAACAGGTTTGGAATCACCAGAGACATCTCCCCCACAGCAAAGTCTAGGGTTGGATTCCACTGGAAAATGCTTGTTTTTATAAAAATAAGTAATACCAACAGAGAGTTTCCTAACCAAATACTTCTGGCAGACAGATCTTGCCTCTGTGATGTTTTATTCATCAGTGCAGCACCAGCCTTTTGGGGATTTTACTGGAGACCTCATTTCTCTGTCAAATTTGGGATTTGAATACAAACCCAGGGAAAGGTTTTCATTGCTTTTACTCACAAAACCTACCCCTGCAGAAGGGAAAAATCATGGAAGTCCTTCACTCTGCTCCCCAGCACAAACATCAGTGAGTGCTGGACACCTTTCCCTTTATCCCAAGGGAAGGAACTGTTGAATTCTCAGTATAAGCATGAAATGGGAACCAGAACTTTATATTTTGGGCTGTGAATAGCCTTGAAACAACAGTGCTGCAAAGGACTTGCACTGCTGAGGAGAAAACAATCCAAACTGAGAAGTTGTCAGGGAAGCTCCTAACGATTGTGCCAGGAAAGCACAAGCCTAAGCTTTACAGAAAGTGCTTCTGGGCAGGATGCAGTGGCTGTGTAAAACTTCTGAGCTGGTCCCAGGGTGTAAGTTATCCTACACCTCCCCACATACACGAGTACTTACTAGGCTGTGCTTTCTAGGGAGAGGTTCTGCTGCAGTTACTTCACATTTCCCACTCTCTCTCTTCCTCCAGAAGAAAAAAAACAACCAAACAAAAAACCTTCTATGCAAGATAAAAATAATTAGTCGCGTATTAAAGACCTAGTTCTGAAGTATTTATTGAACATCTAGTCATATAAAATAAAGTGTAAAAGTATGAAGGTATCAGCACGTGGCTCTCAGCAAGGCAGTTGGGAAGTAACTCAACATAAACCAGGGATTGTTTCCCCCCTTTGCCAAAGGGTCACATCAGAACGAATGCAAACAGAACACGAGTTTCACTCCAGGCCGCAGTGCTGCCCTGTGTCCTTGGGGTCTGCGGGCAGGGCTGGGCTGCCCGGCACTATGTGCTGCCCTCCCTGGGCGGCGGCGCCGGGGCCTGGCTGCCCGCAGCTGTTTTGATAGAGTTCAGCGTTTTGCTAAACCAAGAGTTTTTGGCAGCTTGGATTTCGTTCATAAGGGCTCCTCGCTGGTGCTCCAGCTCCTGGGGAAGCAGAACAGTCACAACTGATCACAAACCGGTTCGTTAATAAATAACCACCTCCAGCCCCTGCAATCCAGCACCTCCCTCACCACCTCCCAGGCACTGGGGAGAGGAGACAGACTGGAACTGCAGGAACAGCACAAGGTGTTTGGATACACAAATAAACACCTCTTCTCTTACTTTGTCTGGAAGTCCACAGGTACCTCCCTGTGTATCTACTCTCCTGTGTAACTGTGGGCTGAGCACAGCGAGGTTAAGGTGACTGACTACTTGGATTCCACATACCTGGATTTTGCACTTGGCTTCCACGAGCTGCAGTTTGGTCTGTGCAAGTTCCAACTCCATCTCTCTCAGCTGCTTCTTCAGGGCATCCTTCTCGTCGTCAGTCTCTATGCCCTTGTTGTCGGTGCTCACCGCGGGCAGCTTCAGTGCCCCCTCCTTGCTGAAGAGCTCACTGCAGTGCTTGCAGGCCATCACCTTGCCCTGAGACACACAAGGCACATTTTAACCCGTGCAACAGGAGCTGCTGTGCTTCCCAGCAGAGCCACTTTTGGGTCAGGCTGCCTTTTGGTCAGGCATCTCAAACCTAAAGTACTGCAGCTTGCACATTTGGCATCAAAGGATTCTGAGAAGTTCATGAACAATTTCCAGGGGATATTAACCAGTATAAAACCTCCTAAATTCCACTTAGCATGGCCTAAGCACAGAGACTTTGCTCCTAGATTGGAATTACTCAAGCCCTCCTGCTACCAAAGCTTGGCAGTATTTATGTCAGCACAGTTCAGAAGAGCAAATTAAACTTTGGGGACTTTTTTGCCTTCCAAATGAATACAGATTGTGCTAATTTTAGGGACACCAGATTGCTTTTGCCTATTCCCAGGAGCAGGAAAGCAGGATGCTCCCTGCAGGGGAGCAGGGGTTGGTCCTTTTGCCAGGGACACCTGACACAACAGGAAGGTTCCTGTGCTACCTGCAGAGATGAACCACCTACTCCAGCACAGCTGGCCTGGCCCACACAGACTAGAACAGGATCCTGAGCCATTTCAGCAGATTGTAGCAACATCCAGCCTAGAATTATTTTAGCAGGAACATAAAAGTCACTAAAAAGCAACAAATCTGTTCAGCTCAAGCACTAAAGAAACATCTAGAAGCTACAGCAGAGGGAAAACAACTGTGCCTACTCAGCAGTGACACAGCACAAGGATGGAATGATTACCTGACCAGGGAATGTTTACCTCTTATGCAGATGTTCCTGCTAAGGGTTTAGAGAAGGGAGAGGAACTGATTGGGAAATTCTGGGGATGGCCCAAGCTATGCCAATGACTTAAATCAGCTCTGCTTAAATTACAGAAACCCAATTACAAACCTTGTCCAACGTGGCCAATTCCAACCCCTCCGCTGTGCACACTGGAGAAACAACATGTCTGCTCTCTATCACTGTGCATACTGGAGAAACAACATGTCTGCTCTCTACAGAGCCTTTTCTTTCCCCAGTAGATCAAAACATACAAGTAAATACTATTTTCTCTACATTTTAACAGGAAAGAGAAAAGCCAAGTACTCAGTGCACTTCAGTTTGAGAGTTCCACCTTGTCTGATACAAGATAAAGAACTGTGAAAGGAAATAAACCCTTCCCTTGTGTACATCTGCTGCAAAATGCCTGTGGGGCTATTAATGCTGCTTTAAGCTTCAGTTCCCCTTTTGTTCTGTACCCCTGGCATTCAGCAATGCTCCTGGGAGAACACCCTGCATGGAGAGGCATCATTCTCACCTTCACGACTTCCAGTTCATCTTTACTGGCAGCTTGTTGTTTTTCCAGCCTGGTACTCAGCTGGGAACAAATCTGGAGCAGAGAAAGCAATGTCTTAGCTCAAGTTTACTGTAGTAACACAGAACCTGTGCTTTTAAACAAGGATTTTTTGTTAGAACCAACGTTTCTTAAATCCCGTCTCACTCAGGCATACACATTCCCCCTCAACAACTTCACTGCTGCTGCTGAGACTGAAAAACCAGCAGTATTCAATACAGAACCTGCACAGAGACCAGGACATTTTTATGGATGAATTGGTTTATGGTGTTTATCCTTCATTATGTCACAGGCTACAGAAGTATTCACCCTACAGGACTAAAATCAGCTGAGAGACAGGTTAGTCTTGAGTGCCTAATTAGGAGACTATTAGGAAAGCCACAGAAAGATTTATGACAAATTACAAGGTTCCTCTCTGAGAGCCTGAAAGGTGCTGGAGCTTGTTTAAAGGATGAGATGTGCAATGTGCAATTCAGCTTACAGAACAGGCTGAAGCAAGAAACATGAGAAAGAGTCTGAACAGTACCTGTTTGTACTCTGCAATAATGGCTGTGGTTTTCTTGATCTCAGACTCTGCCTTCTCCAGCTGCTTCCTGAAGACTTCCTTCAGCTAGGAATTGGAGGAGAGGAGTTACACTGACACAGGTTCTCAGAGAGCACCATCAGGCTGTTCTCTCCCCAACTCACTGTGTCTGCAACAGCTCTACTGCTGCTTCTTACCCAGTCCCAGTCCTCAGGCAAGTGTCTGATTTTCTCAGTGTGCAAACCCTTATTATAGCAGTGATAGCCAAATGTCCATACTGTGACCCTTCACCCCTGCCCAGAGAATTCTCCTGTAGCTGAATTCCCTTTCTCCGTGTAAAACAGTGGTACAGCACAGTCCACAGAACAAACACTACTATTAAGTGAGGTTTACTGATTTTTAGTTGTTAGGGGTTTTTTTTCTGCACAGTCACAGCAGGTGTGGCCAGACAGAGTGTTTGTTTGGAGACAGAACAGAAGAAGAATCTCTCAGCACTATCACTGTCATCTCCAGATCAGGGGAAAGAAATCGTTTTGGGTCTGTGGCACAGTTAACACAGAGCTCATTCCTCCCTCAGAACCACTCAGTTCTGAGAGCCCTTTCAG